TATCGATTATCGGGTCTCAAACGGGTCGTGGCTGCTTATATTCGTGTTTATAGACAGAACGATAAAAGTATCGTTTAACGGCACTTGTGCCGTTCTGTTAATTTATCCAATATTTTGCTTCTTTTCCAATACAACAAACTCAAGCATTGGATCCCCTAAGAAAGTTAGAAATGTTGATTATGTGACAAATAACAGTAGAATTGACGTAGATTATATGATATCCAGGGGTGAAATCACAAGTCATGATCTACATTCGTTAGAAAATATAAGTAACAATCGTATCTCTCAAATGTTGTAAATGGCATGTCCATCCTACAACTTTAATGAGTTCAAATTATCAATTATTGGGACTTAAAGGAGTCGTGGCTACTTATACTCATGTTTAAAGACAGAATGACATAAGTATCGTTTAAAGGCCTTGTGCCGTTCTGTTGATTTCTCCAATATTTTACTTCTTTTTCAATGCAACGAACTCAAGCATTGGACCCCCTAACTTAAGAAAGTTAGTAATTTTGATTATGTGACAAATAACTATAGAATTGTTGTAGATTGTATGATATCCAGTGGTAAAATTATAAGTCATGATCTACATTCGTTGGAAAATATAAGTAATGAATATATCTCTCGAATTTTGTAAACGCCATGTCCATCCTACAATTTAAATGAGTTCAACTTATTGATTATCGGGGCTCGTATAGGTCGGGTTGCTTATATTCGTGTTTATAGACAGAACAGTAAACGTGCCGTTTAATGGTACTAGTATCGTTCTGTTGATTTCTCCAATATTTTCCCTCTTTTCCAATGCAACAACCTCAAACATAGGATCCCCTAACTTAAGAAAGTCAAAATGATTGATCATGTAACAAAGAAGGGATGAATTGACATAGATTATATTATATCGAGTTGGTGAAATCATAAGTCATTTTATTAATTCATTGGAAAATATAATTAATGAACACAACTCTCAACTCTTATAAATAGCATGTCCATCTTGCAACTAAAATGAGTTCGACTTATTGGTTATTGGGGCATGGATGGGTCGTGGCTTCTTAGACCTGTGTTTTTTATAGATAGAACAACATAAGTGTTGTTTAACAGCACTAGCGACTTTTGTTGATTTCTTTAATATTTTTGTTCTTTCCAACGTGACAATATCATGCATTAGATTTTCTAATTTAAGAATGTCAGAAGGATTGATCATGTGACAAATAACGGTTGAATTGACATAGATTATATGATATCGAGTTGGTGAAATTACAAGTCATTGTATTGATTCGTTAAAAAGTATATTTAATGAGCACATCTCTCAATTTTTGTAAACGACGTGTTTATCTTCCAACGTAAATGAGTTCAACTAATTGATTATCGGGGCATGAACGGGTTGTGGCTACTTATACTCTTTTTATGTACATTATAGCATAAGTGTCGTTTCATTATCAGTAACGACACTTGTGCCGTTCTACTGATTTCTCCAATATCTTGCTTCTTTTCCAACACAATGCCCTCAAACATTGAACCCCCTAATTTAAGAATGTCAGAAATGTTGATCATGTGACAAAGAACGATTGAATTGATATAAATTATATGATATCGAGTTGGAGAAATCACAAATCATTGTATTGATTCGTTAGAAAATATAATTAAAGCACATCTCATAATATTTGTAAATGGCATGTTCATCTTACAACTGAAATGAGTTCAATTTGTTGGTTCTCGGAGCACGGACGAGTCGTGAATACTTATACTCGTGTTTATAGATAGAATGTAACGATGGTCGTTTTCATTTCAGTAATGGCTCTTTTGTCGTTTTGTTGATTTGGCATGTATTTTGTTTCTTTTCCAACGCAACGACCTCAAATATTGTATCCCCTAACTTAAGAAAATTAGAAAAGTTGATCATATGATAAAAACAGTTGAATTGACAAAAAATATACGATATCAACATTTTCATCTCAGTAATGGCACAAGTGTTGTTCCCATGGACAAGTATATTTACAAACATAACTGTAGTTGTGCCATTCTCATAGACGTTCTTATCTCAGTAACGACATAAGTGCTATTCTCATGGACACTTATATTTGCAAACATAACAACATCTGTGTCGTTCTCATGTTAATAAAAACAAGTCACTCTACTGATTTATAAAATATAAGTAATGAGCATATCTCTCAACTTTTGTAAACGTCATATCCATCTTACAACTTAAATGAGTTCAACTTATGGTTCTCAGGGCACGAATGGGACATGGTAGCTTATAATCATGTTTACAGATAGAATGACACAAAGTTTAGTTTCTTCTTAATAACATCACATGTGCCGTTCTGTTATTTTCTCATATACTTCGAAATGTTTCCAACATAACGACCTCAAGCAATGGACATGTGATAAAGAACGAAAGAAATGATATACAATGTAATGGACTCTTATAAGTCAATAATGACACTTGTGATGTTCTCAAGAGCGTTTTCATCTCAAATGATGACAATTGTATCGTTCTCATTGACGCTTATACACATTTAACTTACATAATCTAGCTTGAATAATATTTGCAATTTTATTTTCTTTGCCCATGTTTGAGCCACATTCTCATTTTTCTACTCATTTTCAACTACACATTTTTCAATAATATAATATTTTCCATCATATCAATAACTTTTCCTTCTTTTTCAACCACATATTTACCATCACATCACAAAAAAATGCATTTTCTTCTAAAAAATGTGCATCAAACACTATTTAACAAAGATAAGAAACAATCCTTTCTTTTTACACTTCTGATTCTATCTCTTCCTATGCCTTGTGCTTACACACTTAACACTAATGAATTGTCTGTAATTTGAGCAACAACAAACTCAAATCCTGAAGACTTTCTAAAAGTTTCATTATGAATGTGCCTTATGACGAGAACCCAACTCCATGACTTTTGCATGGATATGTAATTTCAACTTTTACTGGAAAAATTATCATAACCTAATGTCTTCATCATTACTTTCCCAATCAGTCATGATCAACAACTTGGTCCAAGGACTTCATTAACTTGAATCGTATTTAACAGGCACCTCATATACGAGTTAAAATAAATTATCTTAAATGATAATAATAAAAAGACAATAAATAAAAGAACTAAAAATCTGAAAAGACCAAAGCAAATCAATTGACATCAACCATGAAAAAACAACATCAACTCCAACTTCTCTGGCGAAAGTGTATTTCATGTTTAGGAATCCAAATTTAAATTAGTGAACGTCAAACATGGGATGAAAATGTGTTCAAATGTTAAAATGTGTTCAAAAATAGGCTTGTAGGATGCAATGCTTCCTTTGCAGGAATTCCATTGTCATAGTTGACAAACTACACTCATAAAAGATACCAAAACTTAATCTAAAGATGAGGGAAAATTTAAGACGATTTAAATATAACTTCATTTTCGAACAAAATTTTTGTTTTGTTCATAGTTCACCTCACAATCATAAGAAACGTGATACACTAAATAAGAAGTGCCACATTAGCCCAAATTATATAGTCTAATGTCACTAGAATCACTAGAAGACAAGGCAACATAGTAAAATAACAAGTCCTCATATTCCAATATAATAACATTATTTGCATGACAAAAAGATACAATGTCATCAAAAAATCTTGCAGTTATAACCATTATGCTTACGTTAAGGCAAGTCTGCAAAGTTCAGGATCCCATTTTCATACCAACTCAAATTATACTTATGGGAAGTGCAACAGATAAATCAAAATACACTTAACGATTGAAAGGAATAAGAGGAGGATTATTTGGAGCCAACGTGTTTCTTGATAGGTTAACCTTGCCATCTTCCATGATGTATATCATATGAACAATACTGTACATATTATTGTAGAAAGAATGTAGAAAACTTCCTCCTAGTGCGTTTGCTTCCACCGTCGTAGTAGTAAGGAGAGGAATTCCTGTACTTTCGCAAATTTGCAATCGATTTTAGTGCGTATTGTAGTGAATTTGATGAGATACAAAGGAGGAGAAGAAGAAGAGTTCAATTTCAAATGGAAAAAAAGGATTTTATAGTGTTGAAGGAGAAGTAACGAGAGAAATGAGAGAAAGTTGTGCGATTTTGGAGTTAAAAATCGAAGAGCAATTTTGTTATTTTACCAATTAAAATATTTTGATTTTTTTTTCCTTTTATTATAGGTCAAATGCTATTTGTCTAATATCATTGTGTAACCCGACTGTTTGGCCAAATTTTTTCCTTGAAAAAGGGGTCATATTTGATGAATTAGAAAACCTGAATCAGGCTTTGCACAAATATTTTATATGCTTTCATGGGCCTCATCCCAAAAACATTGGACTTTGCCTCTGCATAAATGTTTTATCTATTTTAAGAGGTTTCAACTTTCAAACACGGGACTTTAGCTTTACGATAAAGATTTTTTCAATTTTAGAGGCCTCATCCTTGCCTATGCATCAACGCCTTCGTCATGCAAGATATCATCTTCTTTGCCTATGCATCAACGTCTCTGTCGTTCATATCTTGATCCATGACCCTTCGTTCTCAAAATACGCGTGACTTCTAAGAATGACAAAAACAATGAAAATTGATACAAAATAAGGAATCAACTCGTAATTATGCAAGTCTACGAGTAAACATAAGTATTGCATTGATCATTTGCGTAAAATTTTTAATTCTAACCAAAACTGGAAGGGAAAAGAAATAACTCGTAATTGATATTTCCGTGACTACCTTACAAGACGAATAAATTTGCTATTTTTCATTTTAGATTTTCGTAATTCCAAATATTTAAAGGAGTTGACATTATTTGGATATACAGAGGATAAACTGCGAAATACGTGGCTAATTTTGAAAACATAAAAAAAAAAAAAAATAATAAATAAAAAAATAAAATAAAAATCTACTGCTGCTGTCCTGAGGCACTTCAAGAAAAAATTTCTCTGAAATTCAACTCTAAAGAAGAAGTGCCCAGCTCATGAATATTTTTGAGTAGTCCTATTAGAAATGAATCAATCGATGAATATACGCATTCAATCCCCTTCTCCATCTCTGTAAGTGGCACTTTTTTATACCCATTTTAGTATATTTTGCATTTTTTTTTTATATTTGTGTACGTGTGAGTTTTATATTCTATAGACGGAAGATCTTGTTTTGAAATAAATTACTGAAATTCACTATGTATAAAATTCATTCCTGTATACATAAAAAAGTTTCAGTGTCATGCTGAATTTTCAGGCTTATTTAGATTGGGCTTTTCCTGGGGAGGTTATTTTTTGGAATTTGTTGTTGTGACAGAAGAAATTGTGGCAGTTTGTGGATATTTTAGGGAAGGGGTAGTTCATCCTCGATCAGTATATTACTGGTCCGTTGGCAGTGAGTTAAGGAAGTTAAGGATAGTTACTCGTAAATGAACGTCGTTATCTTGATTTCAATTGATTTATGGAAGCTTGCCAAGCTTGAGACATATATTATGATTTGAGAGATAAGGGAATGGCTTCCCGTCGGATTGGCTTCATTGACTTAGCTACTTATCCCATACTCCAGGGTTTTCCTTAAGGCATAGGTATCCAAGATAAGTAGATAACCAGTATTGTAGGATGCACCATAATATGGACAGATGAAATTTGTGATTTTGCTAGTTTCTTAAGCAAAAATAAAATAGTTATATGCGTTCATCTGATTTTCTTTTGCAGACTACTGCTACCAGCTAAAAGCTCTTCTCGCTGTACATGTCCTTGCTTAAGAGTGCAACTGGAAAATAGTTCCAGTTCGAATTTGTCAAAAACGTCCCTAATTTCTAGAGGTTCGTCCACATGGTATAAGATACAACCTATGTTCAATGAATCCTTAACGAAAAAGTATTCATCACAAAGTGGAGCTTTTGTGACTTCTAGAGCTCAAGAAGTATCTGACATTCCAGTTGTTGGTGATGATAAGATTGGAGTGTTATTACTGAACCTTGGAGGCCCTGAAACTCTTGAGGATGTTCAACCCTTCTTGTTTAACCTTTTTGCCGATCCAGTTAGTATCTATCAGTTTGGTTATTTTGTTCATTTCTTAATGGTTAATAGTTTTGGAGTTGAAAATTCTTTATTCTTTATTGGTCTGTAAATTGGAAATAGGATATTATACGATTGCCGAGATTGTTTCGGTTTCTGCAAAATCCTTTGGCGAAATTCATATCTGTTGCTAGAGCCCCAAAGAGCAAAGAAGGATATGCTTCAATTGGTGGTGGTTCTCCTCTTCGCCAGATAACTGATGCTCAGGTATGATTTTGATATAATAAATCATTTTTTAGCCCATGTGCAGTAGTTAATTATTTGAACTTGAAAGTACAATTTCTACAGTTTTGTGGATTTTCATATGTGGAATGACTACATGAAATTTCCATCCAATAGTTATATATCAGGTTTTTGATTTGAAGATTTTGTGTGCTGTGTTTTCGTGATTGGGTGTTGTGTGAGCGAGCGAAGTATGAGAGCACATGAATTATCCTGTTTTGAATAATTGAAGCATTCTTTTCCTTTTTTTGATCTTTTGGAAGCCTTGGTCCATTCCAACTTCAGTAAATGATGAATGAAACTCTTGAGAGGTAGGTTCTGGTTGAGATTGGGTTTGTACCTTCTTTTTATTGTACACATCTTATATGCCATCTCTGTTTTTTAGTGAAATTGACTTGTCGATAATGAAAATATGTTTATTCTTTACATTATTTTCCATATTTATGTTTACTCTTTAACTCAGATAATAACTAATATCTCTAGGCTGAAGAGTTGAGAAAAGCACTATCTGAAAAGAATGTCCCTGCAAAGGTTTATGTAGGCATGCGTTATTGGCATCCATTTACTGAAGAAGCTATTGAACAGGTATCTTTACTATGGGTTTCAAATGCGAGTTCCATCTCTCCCCCTTTGATATAGAGAAGAAGAAATAATGTTGGCAGTCATTCAGCATAGATTGTTAGCTTACAGAAGTATGAAAATGTTTAACTTCAAGGTCTCTTTGCCACTACTGTCTCACTTGATTATTCTCTTGAAAATGATGGTTTTAACTTGTTTCGTGGTATAAAATGGAAAATGCAGCATAAATATGTTTTGTGTACTTATCTCTGTGTGGAGAAGTTTGTAGATTCTGAAATTTATGCACTGATCAGAGTTAACACTTGCAGTATTAGAAGAATATATCCAACTCGATTTAGAGATGGTATGGAGGATTGCGTGCATAGAGTAAGCAGAAACCTTTGTACATCACAGAATCTAGGGTACAAGTGCTAAAATATGTTTAGAGAGGTGAATGCAGTTAGGCTATTAAAGTTTCAGATTTTTCTTTGTTTAGTAATGCACATGGATACATATGAATGGTATCTATACCTTCAAATTGAGCGAGTTTTGAGAAATGTTGGAAAATTAGACCAATACATTATTTTTATTTTAACCAATATGGGAAATTTGCTATGTTCATGCAAATTAGCTTGTACTGAAATAAAATACTGACACAATCCATGAAGTATCTAAGTAAATGACAAAAGGAAGCATATATGCTATCAATTTAACTCTAAACAAGGAGATAGCTTCTCTTTCCATTCCTTGAATAAGAGAGAGTGCAACCGAGTTATGGAAATGGTGAAGTTCCTGAAGCCAAACGAAGTGGGGATAGTTCTCCATGACTGGTATGCTAGGCAGAGGCTGTGATTATAGATTCCTTCGATGGTGCGGCCGAGCACCCGTGTGAGTTGATTCATAAGGACTCTTGTAGAAAGTTGTTCAGGAGGTTAGGAATAGAATATTTATTTGGAATTTAGAATCGTGTGTATAGCAGGAAAGTAGGAATAATAGTTAACTAAATATTCTCTCATATTTACTTACCTTAGTTAGACTGGTTCTAGGTTGATTTGTTTCCTAATTTCGAGGATCTAAACTGATCTCATTCCTGTATATATAGTCTCCTAATTGTTCAATAAGAAGATGAATTTTTCCCTCAGAATTATCTACATGGTATCAGAGCTTGTCTCTGAACCCTAATCTTGTCGCCTCCATTCTCCGGTATTCTTTCAGACCTCTCATAGGTGCTCTCGACTGATTCTCTCATGTTTTTCACTGCCTTTCTTTTCTCTCAACCATGGCCGAAACAGACTAGTCCTCAACCGGCATCTCCTCTCCTGCTGGCTCATCATCCTCAATCACCCTTGCTATATCCGAGACCAATCTTGTCCCTGTGACCAGTCACAAATTAAATGGTCAAAATTATTTACAATGGTCTCAATTGGTGATGATGTTCATCAGTGGCAAAGGGCGTGATGATTACCTCACTACAACCCAACAAGTCTGATACTCACTACAAGGCATGGCGATCTGAAAACAACATGGTTATGTCTTGGCTGATTAACTCCATGACCACTGAGATTAGTGAAAATTTCCTCCTTTATTCTACAGCACAGGAAATTTGGGAGGCTGCCCGTGAGACATACTCCAGCAGTGAGAATACTTCTGAATTATTTCAAGTTGAAAGTGTTCTTCAGGATCTCAAACAAGGAGATGGGTCTGTAACAACCTATTTCACTAATCTCACTCGCCATTGGCAACAACTAGATTTATTTGAAACCCATGATTGGAAGTGTCCAGAAGATGGGGTCAAATTCAGGAAAATAGTGGAAACTAAAAGAGTTTTCAAATTTCTCACGGGACTTAACAAATCCCTTGATGAAGTCCGGGGTCGAATCCTTGCAACTAAACCTCTTCCTAATCTACGAGAAGCTTTTTCAGAAGTCCGGAGGGAAGAAAGTTGGAGAAAAGTCATGCTATGATCATCCGGGACATTGCCAACCTCTGAAAGTTCAGCCCTTACAACACATGGGTCCCTGATTTCACAAGATGTTTTTGCTCATGCTGCTCGTGGTTCTTCTCAACATTTGAATGACAACAAGCCTAGGAAAGGGAGGCCGTGGTGTGACCATTGTAGGAGACCAGGGCATGAAAAGGACACCTGCTGGAAACTCCATGGAAAACTCGTGGGTTGGAAGCCTACTAGAGGGTCTGATGAGCGTGACAACCGCGGGTATGTAGCCACTACTGAAGCAACTGCTACTCAAGCTCCTTTCACCAAAGATCAACTAGAGGTTCTTCTAAGGTTGATTAGCCAAGTAAACATCCAGCCAGCCCCTGGTATCATTGGAACTGGAAGTGTTGTTCACAGAGATAATACATCCATCGCTTTTGGTGCAGCCATTGCTTCCTCAAATACTTGGATTGTTGACTCATGGGCATCAGATCATATGATTGGAAACCGATCCCTGTTCTCATCCTATAACCCGTGCTAGGACTTTATCTCAGTCCGAATAGCTGATAGATCATGCTCAAAAGTGGCTGGCATTGGCACTGTCATTCTATCAAAAAATCTTCTCCTGCAATCTGTATTATTTGTGCCAAAACTAGATTGCAATTTACTGTCTGTGAGCAAATTTAACCATGAATTGGGCTGCATAACTAAATTTATTGCAAAATCTTGTGTTTTTCAAGATTCGGGAGCGGGGAGGATGATTGGCAATGCTGAGCTTTGTGCAGGTCTTTATCTCCTCAACCACGATGACTCTCCCAAAGGAAAATCTTGTAGCAACGTTTGTGTCAGTCTAAAGTGTCAGTTCTCTAGTATTTCTTTGTCTTCAAGTCTGTCGAATAAAGATAGTGCAGTTATGATGTGGCACTACCGCCTAGGTCATCCAAATTTTATGTATTTTGAACGACTCTTTCCATTCTTATTTATCAATAAAAGTTCCAAATTTTTTCACTGTGATATATGTCAATTGTCCAAACACAAATGTAGTTCCTATCCATCTCAATCATATAAATCTTCTCACCCTTTTTCCATTATACACAGTGATATTTGGGGTCCCTCGAGAATTGCAAATATTACTGGGGCTCGATGGTTTCTGTTATTTGTTGATGATCACACACGTCTAAGTTGGGTATTTCTAATGAAAGACAAGTCTGAAACTAGCCAAATTTTCAATGCCTTTCACATTATGATACAAAATCAATTCAAAACAAATTTTCAAACTCTCGAGACAGATAATGCCCGAGACTTCTTCAATTCTGTCCTGGGTGATTATTTTCAAACTCACGGGATTGTTCGCCAAAGTTCTTGCGTTGACACACCCCAACAAAATGGTGTGACCGAACGAAAGAGCCGTCACCTTCTCGAGGTTGCCCGTTCATTGTTGTTTACCTCAAATGTTCCCAAGAGATTTTGGGGGGAAGCTATCCTCACAGTCACTTACCTCATTAATAGGATGCCCTCTCGAATTCTGAATTTTAAAACTCCTGGCCAATCCCTTCTTGAAGCCTTTCCCAATTCTCACCTCATTACTCAGATTCCACTTAAGGTCTTTGGTTGTCCGGCATTTGTACACATTCATGCACCACACCGAGGAAAACTGGATCCTAGGGCCACTAGTTGCATATTTTTGGGCTATTCATCAAACAAAAAGGGTTACAAATGTTATTACTCTCTCACAGAGAAGTTATTTCATTCCATGGATGTCACTTTTTTCGAACATCAACCATTCTACTCCAATTCTTCCATTCAGGGGGAGAATAGCATGATGGAATCTCAGAATTGGGATTGGAACTCACTTATTCAGCCACAAATTCTCACTTCTCCACCAATTGAATCAACCCCTGTCATAACCAAGTCATCCCCTGAGTCACCCGAGAATGGTTCTGATCCTGTTTCTATCCAGAGTCTGAGTCCTATCCCGAACCAAATTGCAATTGAATAGGAACTGCAAGTCTATACAAGGAAGAACCGATGCCAGGAACAAGCTCAGGTACAGCCTGTACAAACTCAGCATGATCAAGACACTTCCTCGGTTCCAAAATCCAATGAAAATACGCAAGGTAAGACTGATATTACTCCAGTTCCTTTGTCTGATCAAATTCTAGAGTCTGGTTCAGATCTGGATATTCCAATTACAGTACTGAAAGGTGTTCGACAATGCACACAACACCCTCTTCGTAATCACTTGTCATATGCAAAGTTGTCACCAAAATTTAGAGCTTTTGTGACCAAGCTTGATTAGGTCCAAATTCCCAACTCAATCCATGAAGCATTACAAAGTCCCGAATGGAAGGCAGCCACTCTAGAAGAAATTAGAGCTCTTGAAAAGAATGGAACATGGACTATTACCACACTTCCTCCTGGAAAACGAACTGTTGGGTGTAAGTGGATATTCTTGGTTAAGCACAAAGCAGATGACAGTGTGGAAAGGTTCAAGGCTCGCCTCGTAACAAAAGGGTTTACTCAGTCATATGGCATTGACTACCAAGAAACCTTTGCTCCAGTTGCGAAGCTAAACACCATCCCTGTACTCATATCCTTGGCAGTAAACCAGGATTGGCCTCTGTTTCAGCTGGATATAAAAAATGTCTTCCTAAATGGAGATCTAGAAGAAGATGTGTACATGGCTATGCCTCCAGGTTTTGAAAACATTACCACCTCCAACAAAGTGTGCAAGCTCAGGAAGTCGTTATATGGCCTAAAACAATCTCCTCGGGCATGGTTTAATAGATTCAACAGAGTGCTCAAAAGGGATGGCTATGTTCAATGTCAAGCCGACCACACCTTATTTGTCAAACATGCTACGGATGGGAGACTTACTGCTACGTTGATGACATAGTTCTTACACAAAACCATTGGGAAGAAATAGATTGTCTAAAAGGGTTGCTTTCCAGGGAATTCGAGATTAAGGACCTTGGAAACCTGAAGTATTTCCTTGGGATGGAAGTGGCTAGATCAAGTAAAGGTATTTCGATGTCACAGCGTAAATATGTTCTTGACCTTCTCAAGGAAACATGAATGGTGGGGTGCAAACCAGTTGAAACTCCTATAGATCCCAATACAAAACTAGGGGTTCGAACTGATGGTACAGCAGTAGATAAAGGTAGATATCAATGCCTAGTAGGGAAACTAATCTACCTAGCCCATACACGCTTGGATATTGGTTTCTTAGTCAGCGTGGTTAGTCAGTTCATGAACAACCCTTCCGAGGAACACAGGGAGGCTGTATATCGAATCCTGAGATATCTTAAAAGGGATCCTAGTAAGGGATTGTTGTTCAGAAAAACAATAAACAGGACAGTTGAAGTTTTCACATATGCTGATTGGGCTGGTTCACCTACAGATCGGAAATCGACATTAGGATACTGTTCATTTGTGTGGGGAAACTTAGTAACTTGGCGAAGCAAGAAGCAGCATGTGGTTGCCCGAAGCAGTGCTGAGGCAGAGTTTCGAGCTTTGGCACTTGGAATATGCGAAGGAATTTGGCTAAAGAGGCTATTGCAGGAGCTGAAGGTTAAGTCAGACGGTCCGGTGGACATGAGGAATGATAGTCAATCACCGATAGCTATAGCTAAGGATCTAGTTCATCATGATAGGACTAAACATGTGGAGATTGATCGTAATTTCATCGATGAGAAGATTGAAGACAAAGTAACTGCTCTCAACTATATTCCAACTCGACATCAAACGGCAGACAACTTAACAAAAGCTCTCAATCGCCCTAACTTCCACAAATTGTGTTCCAAGGTCGGCATGACAAGCATATACAGCCCAACTTGAGGGGGAATGTAGAAAGTTGTCCATGAAGTTAGGAATAGAATATTTACTTGGAATTTAGAATCGTGTGTATAGCAGGAAAGTAGGAATAATAGTTAACTAAATATTCTCTCATATTTACTTACCTTAGTTAGACTGGTTCTAGGCTGATTTGTTTCCTAATTTCGAGGATCTAAACTGACCTCATTCCTGTATATATAGTCTCCTAATTGTTCAATAAGAAGATGAATTTTTCCCTCAGAATTATCTACAACTCTAAAGAACCTGGTCAAGTCTCACGTGAAGTGCTTCATCAAGGTGTTACTTCAACCATATTATTGCTGACGTGCTCCCCCTGAACATGAACCTAGATGACTTGGTGACCCTTGACTGTCTCCAGTCTAGGGACAAGAAAGTCACTGCTGCCAAAGAGTTGAGGCCTGGTTCGAGGGAAGGCTAAACTGGAAAAACTCATCTGTTCTTTTCCAAGATGAGGTTTTGAGAGGAGCATTTGGTAGTTTTCGAGCTGATTTTGTCAGTAGTGGTTTACAAAGAGGGATTCAGTTATGTATGAGATGAATCGACTGTCATATTTGAACTTGACTTTTGTTTAATATTTTTTTTATTTCTGTTTATGCTGAAATATGGATCTGTGGTGCTCGATTTTAAAATAAATGTTGGCATGATTTTAATTAAAGATTAGAAAAAGGTAATAACTTCTCTTGTTGTACTGTTTTGTCTTTTGTTCTTTTTTTTCCTTTTTCTTTTTTTTCTTCCTTCATCAGAATCCATTTGGCTGATATTATAGTTGATTTAGGATTCATCTGTGTACTTCATTTCTACTTCTTGCTTATCCAATTTGTGGGCTGATTACTTCATGGAATTAGAAAATCCTTCAATAGACAGCTCAATTAGTTTGACTTATTTTCTTACATGTAAACCAAGAACATGAGGTTTATCACAATTCTGAAGTATGACATATGTGATATTTGTTATTCTGCATGGTGAGTTTTGTGCTAGTTTCTAAATTTTTCCATAATATTTACTTTTGCTCAGCAAAAACACTTAAATATTAAAGTTAGCTCTCCCTCCTTTAACTGCCATTATTGCTTTCTATATTTTGAAATTTCCTAAGCTTGATAGATATCGGTTTGACAATAATTTCAAATTTGTTTACTTTTTCATTAAGATTAAGCGAGATAGTATTACAAAACTTGTGGTGCTTCCTCTGTACCCTCAATTCTCAATATCGACAAGCGGTTCAAGCCTTCGGCTACTGGAGAGTATATTCAGGTAACATTTTTTACACATTGGGATTTTAGATATTGCATTTTATCATTTCTGTCAAAATTGTGATGCATGTGGCAACATGTTAAATTTAGGGAGGATGAATATCTTGTCAATATGCAGCACACTGTAATTCCTTCCTGGTACCAACGTGAAGGATATATCAAAGCCATGGCAGATTTGATTGAAAAGGAGTTGACAAATTTTGACCGCCTTGAGGAGGTAATCCTTATTGTGCATATGCATAAGATTTCATAAAATGGGCTTTTATTCTGTTGTATAAAGATAAACTTGTTTTGGTGTTTCTTTATGAATTCGCACAGGTAGTGGATTAAGATGCTGCTAAAATGCAGGATAATTTTTAGTTTATTGTTCTTACCTTCTCCTTCATTTTGGTCAACCATATTTGTAAAAGTTGTACTATTTTTTGAGTGAATGATGTCTATACCAATTATTTGGTAAGACTGAATCAAAATTTAAGCTTGTGCCAAATTTCAATAACTACCAAAGTGGACCAGTTTTCTTATTTGAGTGTGGCGGTACTATCTAGTGATTAATTCCTTAACTACCTCTCAAAAAAAAAAAAAAAAAAAATTCCTTAACTAATGAAATGGGCTTAATTAATCTTCAGGTAAGATGATAATGGCTTGAACAAGTCTATGACTTAATAGTCAAAAATTATGAGCCAACTTCCCGGGGATTTGATATATTTTTATTTTACTGGAATCAGAAGAGACTCTCATGGATTTATTTCTGTATTACAGATAATTTTATACATTGTACAGTCCCAAATCAAGACTTTTACTGAGACTTCTTTTGTGTACTATTTGTTTATTACAGGTGATGATTTTTTTTAGTGCTCATGGGGTACCACTAGCTTATGTGGAGGAAGCTGGTGATCCATATAAAGCTGAGATGGAGGAATGTGTGGATTTGATCATGGAAGAACTGGAAAAGAGAAGGATAAACAATGCATATACTCTTGCATATCAGGTAAATACTCAACTGGTAATATATAAATTAATTCCAATTGGTGTATTCTTATTGAAGTATCTCTATAAAGTTCAAAGGGCACCTGAAACTTGACAAAATCTTGAAGTAAAATTTATATGTATTGATGATCAAATTTATATATTTCTATTTCTACGTATGTGAATTTAGCATTTCGGAAAGTTATTGATTACGTATTCAATATAAAGTCCTCCTAGTCTCCAGGTCATGTAACGTATCGGGGAATCAGGTTGGCTAATGATAATTGTCATTGTTCTTTGTCAGGGCTAGATACAACAGGAAACAAAGAACTATCCTTAACCTAATCTGATCAGTTCATTTCTGCCACTGTTGGAAGACTCATAGCACCTATATCCTTTATAACCACTAGTCATATTAGTTTTGTCTAGCCCTCCTAGCCTGTTCTTATGTATGGGAGCCTTTACAGCCCAGGCAAAACATGTCCCAACCACTTACGTTGTCTTTCCTTTAATTTTTCTGAATCGGCACTACTTTTATGTGTTGGCATTTATGTGAATCTTATATCATCCTAATATGACTACATATTCATCTTAAAAGGCTCATTTCCATGACATTCATCTAAGGGACATTTTGTACTTTATAGTTTGATGCTCAATACAATAAAGCATTGCAGGTCTAATAACTGTTTTGTAAAGCTTTTTGCAATGTAGAGATCTTCCCGTAGCACAAAAATTCCTGTTACATTTCTCTGTTGCAACCAAGTTTTTTTAATCTAATGCATTATTTTATCCATTCTTCCCTTCTTGTTAATATTTGACTCCAAATACCTAAAACAATATGTATTTCAGGGACGACATGATTCTCTAAAGTAACTTCATGATTATTATTAATGTGAAATGTGAAGGTCCAACATGGGTATTTCATGCAGTTAGTGAGAGTTGAAGTTACACAAGGTGTGCATGAGATTGTGAATATCAAAGCCTTGTGATCTTAGAACCCATGTTGCATGTTCGTCAGAAGTTTTAGCTATATTCTAGAAAGCATTCATTCTTCACCCCATGCTTACATTTGTCAAAAGACTTAAATTGGTATGTGCAAAAAATAGGACAATTCGGCGGCTTTTTGTTCAATTTGTTTATGATGAGTTTAATATGAAAACTTGAGTCGACAACTATGTTGCTCGGACTCTCCATTTCGGTCGGAATACCTGTGTCGACACGACACGACACGGGTACCAGTACGGAATACGGGTCCGATTCTTCAACTTTCAATCGGACCCGGCAAGAAATTTTTGGAAAATTTGTAGATTTACCTTAGCGACGGTCTTGTTGGAGATGGAAGGTGTCTGTAAAGAAATGGCAAGTTGGCGTCGGCGGTCCTTGGTGAAGAAACAGCAGATCGGCACCCACCGGCGTTCCCAAAATCGTGAAGAACAGAAGAAGAAGAAGATGACGATTGGGAAGGAGAGAAGAGATTTGGGTTTAATTGGAGGTGGGCCATTTTTATTGGGCTGGATATGGGTGGACTTCATAATATTAATATGGATGAGTTTAATTGGAGCTTGGGCTATTTTTAATATGAATATGAATGGACTAATAATGAAATTGTTTTTACACCACACATTTTTTAGTTTAATAAAATATTCAAATAATACATTTAATCATTTTTTTTAATATTTTTTTTCAATTCATCATTTTTAATTCGAAAAATACTGTAATATCAAAGTAAAAATAAAATTGAAATTTGAAAGACTTACCCACGTACCCGTGTCCGAAATTTGGACTCTTATTAGCCATGTCCCCGTATCCCACATTTTACAAAATAAAGGATCCGACACTTAGATACGTACCCGTATTCGATACCCGTATCCGAGTCCGAGCAACATAGGTCGACAAGATAAAGTACGGTTTGTCTAAGCACGACAAAGATACTAAGAGACCTAGGCTTCGCATTTTGAATATTTAGTCAAACTTCATTTTTAACCACACATTTCATAGGAGTTACCAGCATATATTTTTGCTTTGTCAAACAGGGGCAAAATATGCACCAGTATCTCACAAATACATCATGAATGGTCCATATAATAATAGGCTGCTTTATCAAATAAAAAGATCACAACACTTTACTAACATCAACTGAACATATTATGAAATGGTAAGCTTGTAATTAGTTACCATCGTCATATAAGAATGAATTTCATCATTCAAATCTTCGTATTATTTCTCAACACAATTATGAAGGGAATTTTCGTATTCAAATGAATTGTATAGTATTATCTATTTATACTTAATGAGGTTTAGAGAAATCAGAATACGGATTTCCTATATAGTAATAAGATACTGCAAGTAATCAATCCACGCTCAAGTTAAAGACTTGTCGAAATTCCTAAATCTCTATGTGATGCTCTAAATTATTGTCATATGGCTGCGAAGTATGAACATGAAACAGCACAACATGACACAGAAACATTGATATGTAATTCTTCGGAGAACATGCCACTGACACATCAGTTAAAATGATCTAAACTTTTACATTTATGTATTATATCTTTAGTTTTGCCAGTTTTTAATTTTCTAATGTGTTTGTTGCTTTTCTTTTGATGCAGAGTAGGGTAGGACCAGTGGAATGGTTGAAGCCCTATACAGACGAGACAATTATTGAGCTTGGACGAAAAGGAGTTAAGAGTCTTCTAGCTGTTCCAATTAGGTAGCTGTGAATGTTCACTTAACCAGTTTGGATTTGATGTTTGAAATTGTCATTATTCTGAACATTTTTGTTGTCTGTGTAATTTTTTTTTTTTTTTTGGGTTGGGGTGGTGGCAGGGTGCGAACTTCGCAGGCATCTGCATTTTGTTTGTAAATTGTGAACTTACATTCTTTATCTTGTTTTTCATCACAGTTTTGTAAGTGAACATATTGAAACGTTGGAGGAAATAGATGTTGAATACAAGGAGTTGGCTCTAAAATCTGGTATAGAGAAATGGGGTCGTGTTCCAGCACTTGGTTGTGAACCCACTTTCATTTCAGATTTGGCTGATGCAGTGATTGAAAGTCTTCCGTATGTTGGAGCAATGGCTGTCTCAAATCTCGAAGCTCGACAGGTGAACCATTAATTTCAACCTTTTAATTTGAAACTGGGTATTTAAATTATCAAATTGTGAGATGACATATACAGGTATTATCATATGAGTGAATGAAGCGAACTCATAGACACTAGTTTGTATGTGAATGTAAGGACTTAACTGGCATTTAGTTAAATAAAACCGGAATTGATCATTAATTAAGTTGTCATTGTAATTTGAAAAAACTATAATTTGAAATATCATGTGTTTATAAGATAAATATGCAAGTAGAAGAAGATTCATGTGGCAAGCCCATGTAAATATGGGATAATGCTAAGTTGAGTTGAGTGTGAACTATACAAGTTCTTTCTCAATGTTTGACGAAGAAATGACTTAACACTTTGGTTTGTCAAACTGATTGTGCAGTCACACAAATTTATTGAGGTTTAGGTCTTTAGCGTTCCTTTGTGCCATTTTCCTGATAAATTTTGTACTTATACAACAAAAATAGTATATCGTTAAGATGGTTTTTATAACACCAGTCTTGCCTTCTGGTTCTGCCAAATTAAATAATGTGCTTAAGAAGACTAGCAATTTGGTTATGATATAAGCAGCCAAGAATCCAGAGCATTGGTGGACTACCACTACTTTTCTAGATTAACTACACAAGCTATGAATCACATGTTCTTATTACTTGGCATACTTCTAATAATGCTGATCCTTGCATTTTTAAGTATTTTCTTTTTGCTTCTTCTCACTTTGTTTAAGCATTTAATTAGATAACATGAATGAAACTTATTAATTATATGGTAAAACAGTAGGAGCAAGAAAAAGTTGTCGGGTGAAGTTCTATTTCAGTTGGGGAAGAAAATAGCAACCTCGCAAAACTAGACATAAAGCATTCATCTATGTTCAGTTAGTAATACTTTTGATGTATTTCCTTTTCCATCCTCTCTTTTTTGCTAGGGGGAGGGTTTTTTACAGAAAGTTATGCTGTAGTTCTTGACAGCAAACCAGTGAAGGGCTACAATTTCACAATGATTATCAGTGTGTTGGCTAGCACAAATACAGAAATTCCCATGCGTTCATTTTTCACATTATAATTACTGAACTACCTCTTAAGAGAGAGAGTTTACTTTTGTTTTAAGTTCTCCATTGTATAATCTCCAAATATAATTGACTGTTTGCTTGTTCTCTGCAGTCTTTAGTTCCACTTGGCAGCGTTGAAGAGCTACTAGCAGCATATGATTCACAGCGTAGAGAGCTACCACCTCCTGTGACAGTTTGGGAATGGGGTTGGACAAAAAGTGCTGAAACTTGGAATGGAAGAGCAGCTATGTTGGCCGTCCTTGTTCTGCTGGTGCTGGAAGTGACCACTGGAGAAGGTTTTCTGCATCAGTGGGGTTTATTGCCCTTATTTCGATGACAATACCTTTTCAATTCGCTCCCTCCCTCTTGTACACTAGCTCAGCATTCACCGAGAAACTGGGGGAAGATCAAAGATAATGGAATTTTATTATAGATATGGACTAATCAGATTCTGAGAACAAGACCTTTACATCAACTAATACTTCTCCATTATGAATTCATCCAAAGCTTCAGCTGCATTCTTCCTGTGGCTCTTAAGAGCTTCTAATACTGCTCAGCCCATTATACTTGGTTTGAATTGTGTGGAAACGGAAAAAAGAGGGGTGGAAGAAGAGAAGGAAATGGAAATATTCGAGGTTACATGAATCTGCTATGAGAAAAAGAAACACATGGTCTCTTAATCTGCATTTTTATTGTCATTTTGATATTCCTCGAATGACTTGTATTTTGCTGAAAAAACTTATATAAGATATAGACCTGGCCACTGTTGTCTTTGAGGTGCAAGATATAGACACCATTTTTCGCTTTATTGTCATTTTAACTATTTTGGATTTTTTTTTGGTTTAGCTGTACATTGATACTCTGTGATCATGGATTACCGATAATATCCATATTATGATGCAAATACTACTGATGGGAATTCTAGAAGATTATTATATGATTATTTTCCATTTTTAGATTCTTATTTGGGGAAGATATTAGAGTTAATTTACTAGATTTCCTAGGATTTTATTATGTTATTTACCAGATTCTCTAGGATTTGATTAAATGTTTCCTACTTAAAATAGATTTTTTGAAACTCAAGTATGTGTGTGTGTGTGTGTGTATATATATATATATATATATTCACACTCATGTAATCTAGCTATTCTAAAATCAATTCAAGTTGAAGTGATAATAGAATCACATATATTTCCTTCACTACTCTTTCGTGAGTTTGAGTGTTGAGTGAACTTATGCTCTCCAATTTCTAACAATCCTTTGTCTCCTACTGTTCTTTCCCCTGCTGGTCCGCCAAAAACCCCAGGTGATTTTGGCAGCAATAGTATAAATTCTCGGGTAGGTTATTTTGGTTCTTTAGCTTCGGTAGAGTTCAGTAACTTGTCTATTACTGAGATGGAGCTTTTAGAGGACTATATTTGTGTAATGTCGTATGGGCCAAATCCGAGGACTACCCATGTTTTTTATGATTGCACTATTAAGATCTACTGTAAAATGGGATAATTATCTACATAAAGAAAAGAAAATGGGATATCCTCCAATCGATCAATGAATTATCTCTCTTGAGTATTTTCTTAATTTTTGTTACAATTGCAAGAAGAATCTTGGACAAGGGAATGAAATTTACATCTACAGGTTAGATCAAATTGATTGCAACGTTTCAAGTTAAATGCAAAATGATGGTGCTTTCATATGTAAATGGATTAGAAATAATCTTTGTAAAGAATTACTGCTGATCGATTAGTACTCTAGATCTGCCTAACTTTTATTTGGAATTTTATCATGATTATGGGATGTTAGTTACATAGTGTTTTTCATGTCGAATTTATAAACAATTTTGATCTTGTATGTTGTCATTCTGTTTTTACAAGCTATAAGCATTCCAACAATGGACCTAAATTTTTTTGGACAAGGATGACGTCTTCATTGTTTTTCCATCATCGTATCATTTTCACTAAAATAATCCAAGCACTTACTCGTCAAATTTTTGTAGCATCACTAAAACTAGCTTGACTTCTTCACGAAAATTATCAATAAATTAATCTCTCTAAAATAATATTTTTTTCTCGATCCCAACATTGCATACTTACATATGAAAAATGGATTCCAAAAATTTATACATGCACAAGGCATATATTTTAGAATATAATATTCCATGAAATTAGTTGCGTATAAGAATTTTGATCTAATTTGCAATATAAGACCATATACATGTTCATGGAATGTTGTATTGCATTCTGTTTGCACATTTGAATTTGCAAACTGATATCATGCATGTTATATATATAAATAAAAGGAAAATGCGTAGAACCATTCGTTCCATTTGGTCTTTGGAAGATGAAGATAATGAGTTCTAGTTCATGACTGTTTTAACTTGTTGGTACAACCGCCATGCCAACAAGTGTGTTTTTCACGTATTAACTGCTCCAAGTAGAAATGCCATTATTAATGTGTGCATATATTCATAGAAAACTTTCATATACAATTGGGTTTATGCGGAAGAAAGTATGAACTTTCCNCATAGTTCAAAGGACTATGCGGTCGTATAGTCCCATATAGGGACGTAATGTCCTGATTTTGAGAAACCTATGTGGTCGTATAGGTTTAGCCTATGCGACCACATATGTCATAATTTTGATAGTTTTTTGTCCGTTTATAGCCGCTGTCATTTTAAATTTGGTGACTTTTCATCCTATTTTGGCACCATTCCGTGGACAACTCTTGAGGGCTATAAATAGGTGATCCCTACTCTTTTGAGAATAATGAAAAAATCATTAATGCAACCTTATTTATTCCTTGTATTCAAAACCCTTGTATGTTCTTCAAGTTTGGGTGGAAAATATTTGTGCTTTGATATTTTCTGCAACAAGGCTTGATCAATCCTTCAAACCATTTGCCGAAAATCTTTAAGCATCTCAAATAATTGGAGCGAGGGCAAATATAGTTTGAGGACAGCGATTACGCGTTTGGGCCTTTTATTTTGATTCCGGTTGGTTTTTATTGTTGCTGCACACTTTGGTGAGTTTCTTCTCCAACTCCGGTAGTATTTCCAACATTTATTCCCTTCCATTTTAACACCACGTTGTCCATCACAACTTCGGCCATGTTTGTCTCCATCACCGCCAGTAGAAACAGGGAGATTCGTGAAGGACCACAAGCAGTAATTATAGTCTCCAACATCATAAATAACAAATTTTAGATCACGAGTTGCTCATTTTGAATCTCGTAAGGTATATCGTTTTTGTTTTTTTGAAAGCTTTCTATTTCAGTGCTTGTGGGCTCGTCAAACTTAAAAAAAATAAAAATCAATATTGTGCTTAATTAATGTGCATTTAGTAAAATACAATAAAACAAAAAGTATAATACCATATACAATTCATATAACTTTATTACCTATAACACGTCCTCAGATTAGTACCACAATACATGTAGGGGCGGACGCAAAGCATTAAAGTTAGGAGGCACAATCGAACTTGTAAAGTTGGAAGAAATTTTTAATCGAAAATTTACGTCCAAAAAAATCATACCCCGTATAATTTTGCATTTGAAAATTTACATGGGATATAACTTTTTGGGATGTAAAATTTCGAAAATTTTTGAAATTTATATAAATTTTACAATCGAAAATTCACTTCAAAAAAAAAAAAATCATACCCCATGTAATTTTGTATCTGAAAATTTACATGAGATATGACTTTTTCGGATGTAAAATTTCGAAAATTTTTGATGTTATATTTCATATAAAATTTTCTAATAAAATGATGAAAATTATATTGAGAAAAATTTGTATCCTAAAAATAATAAATGTTCATGAAATAATTGAATTTTTTTAAAAAAAATGCGAGTTAGACGTCTTTTTTTAAGACTCACGTTTAACGTATTTTTAACTATTTTCGATATATGTTTGGACTATTTGATATGCCAATAATGTAGTTCTTGAAATAAACTTTGAGATGACATGAGCAATTTGTAGATTCGATTAGCGTACGATCGTCGAAATTTTTTTTTAAATTAGCATGTTATCGAAATTCAAATTTATTGTGATTTTGCCCCTATTTGGTGGAGATTAAAATCAAATTTTTAGTAAATTTTGATAAAAGATAAACAGTTATGGATTTCATGAAATATGTTATTAAAATTAATTGTTAACTTTGATTTAGATTTAAATTTAGATTTCAATCGATACTAAACGTGACTCTAAAAAAAAAATTTCTCAAAAGTTGGGGGGGTGGGGGGGGCATGGAGGCACATGCCCTCCCAAGACCCGCCCATGGGTCCGCCAGTGCAATCATGTACCTTCCACTTACACTCATCAATACAATTATCCTACATCGACAAAACTTTGCTAGGGACATGCATTCTCGTTCTATATATATAGCATACTAGCAATGGAACTTTGATGGTCTCACTGTATCGAATTAATTTTTTAATTGACTCGATACTTTTGAACTTTTTTTTTGACTTTGACAACTGGGTGACCCCAGTTGCCTTTTTCACGCTAATATGTCACTCGTCGAATTTGCTATATGTTATTAAAAGTCCTTTTGCATGACATTGATCTCATAGTTCAGGGTCTTGTCATTTTGTGGGATGAGGTCAAACGAGTATTAAGTAAAAAATACGTCCATGTTTCCTATTAGACTTAACTACTAGATCAATTCTTCTTACAATGTAGACAATAGACATCCACTTTTAAGGATTATTTAGTCTACTTCGAAGAGTTATTGTACAATTCTGATATTTATAAAGCTCCCCATGTCACATCGTCTAAGTTTTTCAATTGTTTGAGTACTAAAATTACGCATCATGGTACTTTCACTCCCCAATCTTTAGATGAAGTTTATCGGCAGGACAACATGTGGTACATATCCTACCATATTCACCAAGTATGCTATACACTAGGTCTCCCACCCCAGTCCCAACAACTACTTCCCAAGTCTAGTTGTATTATTCTTCATCATGCGAAAGAAAATGATGTTTTTATTGTTGAGCCTATTGAATAATGGAGATTACCAATATAATTTCAATATCTTTTATCTGCCTTCTATTAATATGTTTTGAGTTTGAGCAAACTCTCGGAGAAATAATCTTATATTCAAATGAGGAATCAACAGATGATAATATATGTTTTGAGTTTGAGCAAACTTTTGGAGAAATAATATTATATTCAAATGAGGAATCAACAGATGATAATTTGAGATCAAAATAATAACTTGATTGTTAGAGTTCCAGTGACAATAAGTCAGATGTTCTTGTTGAACATTCAAAGTGGAGAAGATAAATGCTTGAAGACGTATAAAAGATTAAACTGGCTATGACATTTGAGGATTGGACATC